GGATCTCTGTGAGTTCGAGGCCAGCCTGGACTACCAAGTGAGTTCCAGGAAAGGCGCAAAGCTACACAGAGAAACCCTGTCTCGAAAAACCAAAAAAAAAAAAAAAAAAAAAAAAAACTTACAAGATTCAGTAAGCTGATGTGACACTCAGTTCACAATCCCATCTAATGTACATGTGTGAGATTTAGGACTCAAGGAAGTAATCAGTAAGCTTCTAATGTGCAATGTATTTTCATTGAAATTCTGGAAATAATTAAATTATAGAATTTGGTTATAATTGCTCTGGCCAACTAACATTACTATACTTAAAACTATATTGCAGTAAATATGTGCATTCCTTGGATAGTAATGGTGCACTGTGTTTTTAAATGTGTAGACTGTTTCTAAACATTTTTATTAAGGCCTACATACTAACCTGCCTGCCAACCAGATCTTTAAACACTTAAATTTGTACTTCCCAGCCCCATAGCCAATGTATAAAAGGCATATGGAAGATTTTTTTTATCTTTCTGTTATAAGAGGACCTTAGACATTGCTTATTCTTAACTTAGTTAAAGGGAAGGTGTTCCTCTGATACAAAGATTAAAAATTCTCTTAATTTATGGTCTATATCCAATCTTGCTGGTGCTATTTAGTGTTTCCTTCCCAAGAAGGAACATGGGACTCATGCGTAAATACATTTGGACCATGTCCTGCCATGACCATAATGGACTGAACCTCTGAAACTGTAAGCAGGCCCCAACTAAATGTTTTTCTTTGTAAGAGTTGCCTCTTCACAGCAATAGAAACCCTAACCAAGACAACATCCAAAAGGAAACTGTAAGAGAAGGAGTTAACAAGCCCCAGATAGCTAGAATAATCAGTTATAACGACTGGCCTTCAGTTCCCATGACCACAGTGCAGCCGGCACAGGGTGGCTATGATGGAAGCAAATGCACTCCTCTAAGGTAATTCCTGCTCTAATCTGTTATAATCAGATTCTGTGGCTCTGGATCTTTGTGTGTTCCTACAGTTCCACTCATTCTGAAGCATTCTTACCACTCTCCAACTCAGCATTTTACCACAAAAGGGTATGTCCTTCCCATTCTAGTGGTGAATCATTCTTTCTAACCATTATTTTGTTGGTATTCTATTTTATTTGACAGAGTATAATAAAAAGTTTGTAAAGACAGAAAACCGTCACATAAAATTTTTTTCTGTACCAAATGTGCCAGAAGTGAATGAAAAAGTGTCCTGTGGGCTCTATGAAGCTAACATGGAAGTCACTACACCCTGAGGTGTGATGACACGTCACATTCAGAACAGCATGACCACAACCCTGACGGCTTTTCCCCATTCCTGTTTCCTTCTACCTCGTAACTGACTAATCCTCTCTCCAGAATGACTCATTCATGTAATGCCCTTTAGCAAAGGATTCTTACAGTGTAAAGCTCTATGCTATTTTATTTCCAGATAGTCACCATTGATTTTACATTAAAATTGAATTTCTAATCTAGTTTAAAAAATCACTCCAAGCTTTTTTTTCCCTCTCTGAAAGGGCAAGTCTATTACTGGCAATTATCTATGACAGTTATGAAATAATTTCTCTTTGTAACAGCTCCCATTAATTGCCTTTGTTTTAGGAACATGGTTTTATGCTATAACCTAGGCTTGCCTTGAACTCACAGCAATCCTCCTGCCTCACCTTCCTGAGTGCTGGGATTATGAGCAAGAGCCATCACACTTGGCTTTTGTTAACTGCACCGTTTGACACACAGAATGAATTTCTATTCCTCTCTCCAGAACCTACGATAATCACCAATATTGAAGGCAGCTTTACCAGGAAATCATGTAAGTAAACAGGATGGTTGATGTTTTTATGGTAGATTGTCAAAGACCTTGTAAAATGAATTGGAATATTGTTCAGTGTGTGTTATAAGCATTATAATACTACAATTTAAAACAGAAGTTTCTTCCTATTTAGGCACTAAATAGAGAATAATGATGTAATATGCTAAATAGTATTTTATAGTATAATAAATTTCTCTTTGCTAATCTTAAATGTTTCTGTTCTGACTTTTATAAGATTTTAAAATTTGATACAATATATGGATATTTTATAACGCAGCCACACACCTTTGAACCTAACTCTACCTAAGAGATAAAACTGACTTTAAAATATTCAAGAGTTTAAAAGGATACCAAAAGCTAATGAGTGGGTCACAGTGAAAAACACCCACTTGTAAAAAGGAGACGGAGGAGGGTTAATGAGCCTTACAAGGCATTAACTACAGATCTGCTACGTTTATCTCATCTCTTTCGCCAGACTATCTGCTGCCTCATTCTTTCTGGTATGTCAACAATCCAGAATTCTCCTGGGCACTGGAGCTAAGAGCAGTAACATCAGGGTCACTTTTTCCAGATCAGCCCTGTTTCAGACATGGCTTGTGTTTTAGCATTAGAGACACAATGCAAATATAAGGAAAATATAAAAATAATGCAGCTACCCAGAGACCCAAACCCTTTCAAAGTGCTTTAATTAAACAACACGAGAATCACCTCATGTTGCTGAGCACACGGATGTTGGCTCCTTGAAGCCGACTTCCTCTCAAAGAAAGGGTCCATTACCTTACCCATGCCTAAGCTGCACTTCTGTGCAGGCTGCCAAATAGCTACTCTTTTAATCAAAACCAGTTCAAGGGCTTTATTTTTGAGTTGGAAGAGCCACTAATTTGAGCAGAAGCACCAAGGCTGTGCCTTTGGTCAACCATATCAACTTTATGAAATATTACTATGAAACATTCATGCTCATCTCTTCTAGAACGACACATCTCCAACTACCTCTCATGCACAATCCTAGTAAATTTTTGAGATTTAAAAATCTCAGTTTTGGTGTGTGGGGGTTGAGGGGCTAATATCACAATTCTTCCAAAGAGATTTCCAAAGTTATCTTCAGCTAGGAGAAGTTAACACTCACACACTCCGTAATACCCTTGCTGTTCTCTGGATATGCTTATTGCTTTTGATTCAGAGCTGCTGGGTTTAAACTTCTTATTACAAAGCACACCAAATGTGTGTTTAATTCAGCACCTGAACAATGCCCTGCAAAAATAAACATATTCAGTGGCAGTAGCTAAATTCACCAAACAGCTCCTGTATTATTTTGGAGAGGAGAGACCAATTTTGTGGTGCTTTGACCAAACACCCTACAACTGTTGATAGACACACACCTCACACTTGAAAAGAATCACCTTATCTATCTCCTCTACCTTTTCAATGTCATCTAAGGATATAACAAGACAGAATACATGAGCTTGTAGAGGACAGTCTGCCATGATAGGTGCTTAGCAGACTGTTCCTTCTGTCCTAGGCTCCACACTGACCCCTCCATTTGTTTACTAGTTGGTGTCTGCTTGCTCTTCTGGGCTAGCCACTCTTACAGGATAAGAATGAACCTCTAATATGCACTGTGTTCCCTGAACAGAAGAGGGAGGCTACTTTAGTTCAGTCTAGCATCGGGCATGAGGGCGTTCAGACTGCAGGATGCAATGACAAGACTAGCCAAATACTGGCCTCAGGGTCCTCATATCTTTAGCCAGAGTCCTAACCCTAAACCTTGGATCTTCTCCCCAGGGACTACGGCAGTTCTTTCTTAGGCAAACCTCCCCATCCTCTCAGAACTTCCTCAGTTTTACTTAGAGGAAAATGGGAAGAAGTCACAAGGACACTTGGGACCTGAATAATCTCATTTTGTGTTAGTAATCAAAACACTTAATACCATAACTAAGGACCAGTTTAAAACTCCAGGATTTGGCATTTAAATACCAGCTCTGCCACTTTCTCTCTGGAATCCGAGTGTGATTTATTTGCTTAGTTTCCTTAGCTCCAAGGTTGGATCCCCAGAAAACCCAGGTGGTTCATACCTGTAATCCTAGCACATGAGAAGCAGAGTCAGAAAGTTTGAGACTGCAGCTCAGAATAATAATAATAATAATAATAATAATAATAATAATAATAATAGCAATAATAATAATAAAAATAAAGAAAAGGAAAAGAAAAAGACAAAACTAAAATGCAAATCACATAGCCTAATTAGGGACATTATAGACACTCAGTTACATGAGCTTACAATCATTAAACATCTCTATTTTTCAAGTATGCAAACATCAACTGCCTTAACCTTTAGACAAATTGAAGAGGACAGCCTTCCAGATTCTGCTGTTTGATATCCACAGGATGAACGTGAGCATTATTATTCCTAATGGGAGCTACATTTGCCAGAGCTTGTGATGATCAACCACTCTTCTGACAACTAATCTGTGTACTGGGGTTTAACATTTTTATTTTATTTTATTTATTTTGTGTGTGAGAGCAGTCCTGCACCCACGTGTCTGTTGGTGCTCGTGCTGGTGTGTGGGTGTGAGGTGGGCAGGCGCGGTTCAGCCCGGCCAAAGTCTCCTTCCTTATCCTCCGCAGGGTGTTGAGGTTGCTCCCAGGCCCAAAGTCGCCTCGCCCAATTTGTTCATGTCCCAGACCAAACACTGGCCGCAGATACTAAGTGGAGCACTCCCAAGTACCTGGGCGAGGTAGCCCTACCTCAATTTAGAGGTTGTAGGAGCTGCAGGGCTTTCAAGGTTTCTTTCTAAAAATATTTATGGAGAGTCATGAACTCTAAAACATCTAAATAAAAGCCAAAACGCGCTATTTTACAGAACAACCACGCACACCAAAAGTCTGCATACAATTTCCAAGTGCTTTTGGAACCCGAGAGCACGGACCGGGAGCGGCGGCGAAGGGTGAAACCGACAGAATTTTATTAATAAAGACAACTGTGTGATTAACAAAAGAATAAGGTAGACCTGAGCCAAGGTTAAGGAGAAAGAGCGTTTCCGCGGAGTTAAGCGGCCAGTCAGGAGGCGCGGCGGGTCCTGCAAGGGACAGTGAGCAACAGGTGGTCGGGCGAACACGGGTCGCACCGCCGGCAGCCGCGCGGCGCGCGCCGCGGGTGGGGCTCGACTCACCGCTGACCGCAGAGCTCCTACCCCGGCGGGCCAGGGTCTGCTGCACTTGCTCCTGGATCCGCTGGCTCCGGGCCGCCGTGTCGCCGCGGCCGCTGCTGCCCACCAGCCTCAGCCTGGCCTCGGAGGGCAGGGCCAGGCTGGAGCTGTCCAGGTGTCCTAGGATCTGCTGGCCCAGCACGGTCCGGATGTAGCCACACTCGGCCAGAGAGCCCGGGACCGCCATCGCGTCGGCGAGGTGACCGGCGAGGGACTGCCAGGACCTGCCGGCCGAGCCACGGGGGCGTGGGGACCGGACGCAAGTCCCGCCCCACCCCGCCCCGCCCAACAGGGACCCAGGCCCGCAGGGGACAGGGGCGTGGCTCCGGCAAAGCAGGCGCGCTCAGCCCGGGGCGAGCACGTCCTCCCAGGCCCCACGTACACAGCGCTCGCCTCGTGAAGGATTGTGGGAGGAGCTGCCCTTAGGACAGGTGCAGCTGGGAACTTCGCCTCGTGAAGTGAGTAGCACATCTAGCTAATTAGACTCAGTCACACTGTTCCAAATGTTCACTGATGATGAAAGGTGTATGACATAGAAGTCTTCAAAGTCTTTTTTTATTCTTAGTGCAACTTCAGTACGACGTGCTTTTCGCACAGATGGAGTCCCAGAAACATATGTTGTTCCTCAGTGAAAGCCTCTGCTTGCTCTTGCAAATACACAAATTGTACCCAGTGCGCTCTTGTCCACCCACTTCGTTCTTAAGGAACATGCCCACACAGAGAAACTCCAATAAGAGACTCAGAGAAGAGATGAGTTTTAATATGCTTTTTAATAGCCCTCCTAATATTGAGTAAGTCCTCTTTATGACAAACTCTTTGTAGGGGAACCCATGCAAAAGGCCTCTGACATTAAATCCTCCTCAACTTGAGTTTATCATGCTATTAATTATGGTTCAAATGCAGTTGAGTAGTGTGAACTTAAGAGCTACATGCAGCAGAAGGATCCTTCACCTTAAAAGTTAACAACCAACGGCACTCCTCATATACTGGTATTTAGACTTGAGAGAAGAAAAAAAAAACCATCTGTGTTTGGCACTGGAGCGAGGTCTTCCCTTTGGTTGCTTGGGTTTGTACCTTTGTTGGAATGCTAGAGAACACAGTCTCTCTCCTCCCCAGGTTCCTAACCAGACAATTAATGCGCTTCCTGTTTTACTGAGCATCAAGGGAGTGAAGAGGGAATCACGGACTAGTCACCCTTTCTCAACAGGCCTCATGGTCGAAAGTCATACAGAAGGCACTGAGAAAGTGGGAGCTATGAGGACAGCAGCTCTTGGAAGCAGCTATGCCAGTCTTTAGGTAAATTACACCTGTGAAGCTCGGCTTGCCCAGCCAGGTGTAAATGTGCAATCGTGATGCTGAGATTTTACCGAAAGCAAAGAAGACAAGAACGAGCTTGAAGGCTATAACGGTTAAGTTACAACAGTAAGTCCTATTGCACGCGTCTTTAAACCCACCCCTCTTCCTCTCCTCTCTTCCAGCTCCTTCTGAAAGTCCCAGGTCTGTTGCTTTAAAAGATGACCCTACTTCTCCAGGGCCAGTAGGTGCATTCCCTGGCTTTTGTACCTGGAGAACTATGACTTATGAGGTCCCTCTCCGCCTTCTGCCGCAGGGGACTGGCAAGTAATTTCTCATTAACTTAGGAAAGTGTAGCTTCACTTTCCTGTTTCCTTTCATATCACTTTTAAAAGTGCTGTTGTAACTGTTGCAATCCTATTATGTATGTTCCAATAAATGAGGACATCTTTATTGGTAATTAAATGATTTGATAAGAGAAAGGCAATTAGCTTATGAGTGAAGGATATAGCATCCAATGTTAGCCCAACTTTTGCAAGTGTTGTGCCATAAACCATGTTCTATATATTTTTACACCTCAATTCTCCTGTCTGCATATGGGAACAACAAATATACCTACATAAAGTGTTGCTGTGATCACTAAACAAAGAGTTGTACATAAGAAACGTTCAATAGCCCTTAGGAGTCCATTCTGGATTCTCTGACTTTCTTCAAGTCTCTTCCATAGATCACCATCTTATGCTTTCACAAACACACATGCATGAGCATTGGTATGTGCATGCTGGCACACACACCGTTCACACATGCACCATTCACACATACTTACACACACATTATTCACTATTCACACACACATTATTCACTGTACACACACACACACACACACACACACACACACACACACACACACATACCATTCACCATTCACCATTCACTATTTCTCTTCTCTGCATATTTTTTTCCATAGCTCTTATCTTCATCATGTGTTCTGGTTATTTGAACCAAAATGGCCACCATAGCCTCATATGTTTGAATGTTTGGTCCCCAGCTGGTAGAACTATTTGGGAAGGATTAAGAGGTGTGACCTTGATGAAGGAGATGTGTCACTGGGGGTGGGCTTTGAGGTTTCAAAAGCCCATACCTGACCCAGTCTCACTCTCTTTCTGCCTGAAGCTTGTGGATCAGATGTGAGCTCTCAGCTGCTTCTCCAGAGCCATGCCTGCCTACCTCCTGCCATGATGATTATGGACTAACCCTCTGAAACTGTAAACAAACCCCCAATTAAATGCTTTCTTTTAAAAGGCACCTTGCTCATAGTGTCTCCTCACAGCAACAGAACAGTGACTAAACAGAGGTACTTCATGTTTTACTTGTTAATTGCTTCCTTACTAGAATATAAGTTCCAGAAAAAACAGCAGGTACTTTCTTTCGTCCATTGCTGTTCTCCAGGACCAAGTAAGTAGGTCTTCATTGAACGAATGGGTCAACCAGGAGAACATGCAGTACCTTACATACTGAGTACACAAAATTGTTAGTGTAATTATTTATGTTTTCAAACTCTTGTAGTAATTCGATACATGAAGTCACATCAGTGAAACTCATTTGCTCTTATAGGTTAAAAAATAAACTAAACCAAGGTAATGTTTTTAAGTTTGAACTCACAGAACTGAGGGATTTAGTAAAAAATAGTTTCCTTGAAACTAAGACAAGCACACAAGCTTCTGAGAGGCACCTTTGAAAGCAAGAATCTGCTGCAGGAGCAATAGCTTAAAGATGGGGAGAGGAAGTTTTCAGGCCTCAGCTCCGTGAACCCAACTGTATCGTAGATATTTCTATATCCTAGCGGAGTGCAGGCCCGGCCCTGGTCTCTTTCCTGGGAAAAGGCCTATTGACTTCCTAAAGTATGAGCAAGCTCTGAGATAACTCTTGAAGGTAGCTTCTTCCCAGTTATCTCAAAAATAACAAATGGTCCAGATAGAGAATTTAAACTTCCCTCTGAAATGTCACAAGCCAGGCTTCCATCTTTTGCTTTGCCCTCAACATTCTTATCTTCTAAGCTTCTTCAAAAGAGCTCAACAAGCATTGAACACTCAATAGCTTTTCTTGCACAAAGTTTCAAAGTCCTTCCACAATCCTCCCCAAACAACATGTTCAGGTCTGTCAGAGCAATACCTCATTATCTTAGTAAGGGTTAAAATTGCTACGATGAAACACCATGAGCAATGAACTTGGGGAGGAAAGGGTTCATTTGGCTTACACTTCCGTATTGCTGGTCATCATTGAAGGAAGACAGGATGGTACCACCCACAGTGGGCTGGGCCCTTCTCCATCAATCACAAATTAAGAAAATATCCTACGGCTGGATCTTACAGGGACATTTTCTCAATTGAGGTTCCCTCCTCTCAGATGACTCTAGCTTGTGTCAATTTGACATAATACTATCCAGCACAGTCCTTAAAATTTATTCATTGGTATTTTAACATAAAATATCTATCTATGAAACAAATACTATCTCTATGTCCACAATCTTTACATTAAATGTTATTTGGGGGGGAATTCTGCTTCTCAACTGGAAGAGACATCACTAGACTCCAGGGTGAGAGGTTCTTTCCCTTCCCATGTCCCCATATTTTCCTTGTCTCACTCCACCTCAATGGCCATCATGACTGGAGTACATGTTTGAAGTCTAAAAATATCATAAGTGCATGCCTACAACACCAGTTCTGTGGGAAGCTGAAACAGGGCTATCCCTAGGACTTGTGGCTAGCCAGTCTACTCAGGGGAATTCCAGTGAGAGACCATGTCCTAAATAATAAGGTGGACATAGAGTAAGGGAGACTTCTAATGATGACCTTTGACCTCCACATATACATGTACACAAGCAGCATTTGCATACACATGTGCACACAGGAACATATATACACATACACACCCCACATATAAAGATGTGATATATTTAGTGTTCAAATAACTTTCTGAATTTTTAATATACCCTAATTCTCATAAAAGAATTTGTATATGGTTAACAAAAATAAAAATAACTTTGAGAAAATCTAACTATATAATTGAAAACAATAACTATATAATTGAAAACATGGAAACAAAATGCTAGGCACCCTTTATGGTGCCTGGCTGTTCTGTAATCAGCTACCTTTTAGTGTTTAGGTTCAGTTTCAAAAACTTCTCTTTTTCTCTTGACTTTCAACAAAATACAATTTTTAAAAAGTAATCCACTGAAATGTTAAAGTGAAATGTGATGGATAGCCAGATGATCAGGTAATGTCTTATCCTGTTTGTTTGGTTTATCTGTCAACTTGACACAAGCTAGAGTTACCTAGGAAGAAGAACTTCAGTTGAGAAAATGCCTCCATGAGATCATCTGTGGGCAAGTCAATAGGGTGTTTTCTCCATCAATCAACGTGGAAGGGCCCAGACCACTATGGGTGGTGCTGTCCCTGGGCAATTGCTCCTATGTGGTATAAGAGGCAGGCTGAGCAAGTCAGTAAGCAGCATTCCTCCATGGTTTTTGCTCTAGTTCCTGCTTTCAGGTCCCTGCTTGAGTTCATGTCCTGATATCCTCTCATGATGGACTATAAGCTGTGAGATGAAATAAACCCTTTCCTTCCCAAGTCGCTTTTATTGCAGCAATAGAAACCTAACTAAGACTAGTCCCTCTTGCTGTGAACCTGTGATAAGAATTCAGGAATTCTTGAGTTTTCAACTTACTGTATTCCTTTATATATATATAAAGACAGGATGTTTAACCCACACTCACTTTGAACTAGGTATGTAGCCAGGGAAGACTATGGTATTGAGGAGTCAACTCACTGCCTTATGCAGGCCATCAGCTAAGCTACATGATTTACATACACACTATATACTTGAAGCATTTATCTGTCATTGTTTTCAATTATATAGTTAGATTTTCTCAAAGTTATTTTTATTTTTGTTAACCATATACAAATTCTTTTATGAGAATTAGGGTATATTAAAAATTCAGAAAGTTATTTGAACACTAAATATATCACATCTTTATGTGTGGGGTGTGTATGTGTATATATGTTCCTGTGTGCACATGTGTATGCAAATGCTGCTTGTGTACATGTATATGTGGAGGTCAAAGGTCATCATTAGAAGTCTCCCTTACTCTATGTCCACCTTATTATTTAGGACATGGTCTCTCACTGGAATTCCCCTGAGTAGACTGGCTAGCCACAAGTCCTAGGGATAGCCCTGTTTCAGCTTCCCACAGAACTGGTGTTGTAGGCATGCACTTATGATATTTTTAGACTTCAAACATGTACTCCAGTCATGATGGCCATTGAGGTGGAGTGAGACAAGGAAAATATGGGGACATGGGAAGGGAAAGAACCTCTCACCCTGGAGTCTAGTGATGTCTCTTCCAGTTGAGAAGCAGAATTCCCCCCCAAATAACATTTAATGTAAAGATTGTGGACATAGAGATAGTATTTGTTTCATAGATAGATATTTTATGTTAAAATACCAATGAATAAATTTTAAGGACTGTGCTGGATAGTATTATGTCAAATT